GAAGAGATAATATATATACTACCATGGGTTTTATGTATGTATATGTAATGTATTTATATGTATGTACATATATATATTATATATATATATATATATATCTAATAATATATATATATAGATATAATATATATATATTTATATATATATATATATATACGAGTATTTGTGGGGTGTGTGTGTATATATATATATATATATCTAATATAATAATATATATAGATATAGACTATATATATATATATAGATATAGATACATATATAGAGTATCTATAGATATAGATATAGATATAGATCTAGATATATAGAGGTATATCATATGTGTGTTTGTATAGTAAGATTGTATAGGTAGTTAACGATAAGTCGATATAAGAGAGAGAGTAGAGATAGAGTTAGAGAGAGAGAGAATAGATTAGAGAAGAAGAGCAGATAAGAGTAGATATATGATATATAGATATAGATAGAGATAGATAGTAGATATATATATAATAGAGGATGTAGTGGTTGTATACTATATATACACATGACGAGTATGTGTCGGTGGTTTAGCTATTATCTATCGATCTATGGATCGTCTCTCTATATATAGGGGAAGCATATTATATGTATCGAGAGATAGATAGATGAGCGAGAAGAGGATAGAGAGAGGAGAGATAGAGGGAGGTGGATAGAGAGGAGACAGAGAGAAGAGGGAGAGATGAGATAGAGAGAGACGAGAGAGAGAGGAGAGAGAGAGAGAGAGACAGAGGAGAGGGAGAGAGAGGAGAGAGAGAGAAGAGAGAGAGGAGTAGAGAGCGAGAGAGGAGAGAGAGTATGAGAGAGAGAATGAGAGAGAGAGAGAGAGAGCGAGAGAGAGGAGAGAGAGAGAGAGAGATAGAGAGAGAGGCAAGGAGAGGGGGAGGGAGAGGGGGGGGGGGGAGGGAGAGAGAGAGAGACGGAGGAGAAGAGAGAGGAGAGGAGAGAGAGAAGAAGCGAGGAGAGAGAATATATATAATAATATATACATATATAGTATATATATATTATACATATCCAGGTGTTGTTTTATGTATGTCTATGTATTTATATGTAAGATGTAATATATATATATATATAATAGAATATATATTATATATATATATATAATTATATATATATATATTATATAATACGGAGTATTGTGTGTTGTGTGTGTGCTTCTATCGGTACTATTTAAGAGATCGCATTCTGAGCCTCCTCGAGTAGAACCGATGAGAGAGACGAATCGAGTAGATGTATGTATCGCCAGAGAGGTGCAGATTTTCACTCTGAGATCCTTCCTCCGAGATCCCCTTAAGATGAATCTGACGCTATGTTTTCAGAGCTATTCCTCCGAGAGCGCATTTTTTCCTCTTTTTCTGTTGGATTAGAGGAGATAATGCGAGAGCTTTTGCATTCGGCTACCTCTAGTCGGACACATTGTTCCCTGAGCCCGGACCGTAGGCCGAGACGAGTATGGCGGATTCGGGACGCGCGTCGACGAGGTCCTGAGTGTGGACGGTGACATGACTTGAGCCTCCACAGAAGAGATTTCGGGGGTGAGTTCCGCCAGATGGCCATACCCTCGTTGATATTCGAGGTTGTCGAGGGACGAGAGGGCCCTTGCTTCAGCGTGACAACATCGAGATGCACGTCCCTCGGTCGCCTCTTTACGTCGAGTCTATGATCTGCCAGTGCGCGGAATGGTACTACGTTAGCACGTCAGCGAGATGTAGGAGAACGCCTTTTGTAGGAGAGTTTTATCCTGTTGTTGAGGTTATCTGAGTGTTTGCACTTTCGGATGTGAGATTCTAGGAGATTTCGCTCACCCGTTGAGTTTTCCGCTCTTTCCATTCTGTTCGTGCAGTGGGATGTTTACTGAGGATCTGAGCGCGCAGCCATCTGAGTATGAGTTCGAGATGTCTGACCTCCTAGGCAACTTTAATCTCCCCCCCTTTCTCCCTTCTCTTGTTCTTCCCTGTACCTGAGTTTCCGGATTCTCTAGTTCTTTCACGGTAGATGATTTTCGAGTACTTACGAGACGGTCCATTGCGATGCCTGAGAGCCTCTTGGCTGCAGTATGCGATGGTGTGATTTTGTTAGTTCGTACTTTGAGAGCTTGTACGAACAACCGAGATAAGACTTCTGCAGACGATTCGAGAGCGGTCTTTGATGGGTTTTTGCTTCGAGCCCTTTGTCCCCTTTCGGTTCGAGTGTACTGCCGCATTGTGTATGACGAGTCTGGTCTCGGGACTGTTTGATGGAGATGAGAGGCGTTCGATGGTACCCGTGAACTGACCCCACTAGGTAGACCGCCCAGCAGCAGAGCCCCTGCTTTCGAGGACTCTGTTTCCATTTGTGTTCTCCCGTCGTTCATTGTTCGAGAGACCGTCCGAGAGTCGCTTCTCCCTCTGGACCCCCCTCTGCCGCGAACCTCCCCTCCTTGACTGTCCTAGATGGGCTTCATTCGAGACCTTTCTCCCCTGAAGGATGTTCCCTCTCGTCGCATCGCCATGAGCGAGCCAATGGACCCCAGTCGGGCTGTTTAGCTTTATTTTTGACCGGAGTCGCGTAACTCTTGGGATTGTTAGAGGGTAGAGTTTGGACGTTAGGGATACCCTACTAGAGACCTCTTAATCCCCTTTCTTTGCCCTCTCCGCTTGTCTTCTTTTTACCGTACCGACCGCTGTTGGTACTGTTCTGATGGTTGTATGGTGCTGAGTGGGCTTTTCAGCTGTCTTCTGTTTCGGGTTTGGGTGTAGTTGTCGGGCTGAGCCCGGGGGACCTTCGACCGCCGTAGCGAGTTTGCTATTGAGAGTATTGATGGAGACGAGCACTGGAGTAGAGAGGCCTCGCGCAGAGCGCGGAGCGAGACGAGGGAGGATTCAAGAGCTCCACCCCAGCCGAGCAGAGCGGCGAGGAGATTGAGGGACGATGAGTTTGAGAGACTGCACGCCTCTTCTTGCGCGCGTAGAGTGAGGAATGATGAGGTGATAGATGCACGACCGGGAGAGATGAGGAGTTAGACGATCGTCTGCTTTCGTGAGTTGATGTGTGGAGAGAGAGGTATGAGTTTGAGATTGCCGAGAATTGGGTGAAGGAGGAGACAGAGGAGGGAGAGAGGAGAGAGAGAGAGAGAGAGAAGAGAGAGAGCCAGGTGGGGGGGAGGGAGGAGGGGGAGAGGGATGGAGAGAAAGGAGGGAGAGGGACAGAGAGAGAGAGAGAGAGAGAGAGAGGCGGAGAGAGAGTGAGGAGAGGAGAAGAGAGAGAGAAAGAGATAGGAGACGAGAAGAGAAGAGAATATATCTATATATATATATATATATAACATATATATATATGTATATGTGTAATATTATAATACACATACGAGTATGTGTTGGTGTAGCTATCTATCTATCTATCTACTATCTATCCTCTATATATGTATGTAGAGGGGAAGAGACGGAAGAGAGAGAGAGGCGAGAGAGAGATGAGAGAGAGAGAGAGGAGAGAGACAGATGAAGCTGAGAGAGAGAGAGATATGAGAGAGAGAGATAGAGAGAGAGAGGAGAGAGATATATATACATATATATATATGTATATATATATATAGATACATATAGTATATATATATGTATGTCTATATATATATATATATTTATATTATTATATATCTAGATATATATATGTATATATATATTATATATATTATATATATTATATAATATATATATATATTCATATATGTGTGTATATGGGTGTGTTTTCTGTTATAGATATATATACGTATTATATATATATATATATAATATATATATATATATATATATATTATTATATATATAGTATACAGATATATATATATATATATAATATATATATATATATTATATATTTATATAATATATATTATTAGGCATTATATATAATATAAATTAAATTTATTTTTGGGGTGGTGTGGTGTGGTGTGGGGTGGGAGGGAGAGAGAAGATAGTATTAGAGAAGATAGATAGAGGAGATAGAGAGAGATAGAGAGAGAGAGATATAGAGATAGATAGAGAGAGAGGTTTGACATATATATGGGTTAGATAGATATATAGATACATAAGATAGGATAGAAGAGACAAGAGATATATACTCTATATATATAATAGAGAATATAGGAGAGGATATATATATGTATATATATATATATATATATATATATATATATATATATATATATTTACATATATATGTACGTATGTATGTATGTATGAATAGCATATGCACACACACACACACATATATGTGTGTGTGTGTCTGTGTGTTGATAGATAGATAGATAGATAAAAATATAGGTAACCTTTTAGCAAACGCTCTCATCAGAAGACCCCAATTCTCGATGTCGCTTTCGTGACCCAAAGACGAGAACAACTGGACGGCCGCAGGCGTTTCTGGTGTCTAGTCTTTTACCTGTACAGTTGCACAGTCACGCCCGCACAATCACCTAATCGTAGTTTCATTCATTAACTACCACTCTCACTGTACAAGTAAACGATGTGTGTGTGTGTGTGTGTGTGTGTGTGTGTGTGTGTGTGTGTGTGTGTGTGTGTGTATGTGTGTGTGTGTGTGTGTGTGTGTGTGTGTGTGTGTGTGTGTGTGTGTGTGTTTGTGTGTGTGTGATGAGGCCATTGATACAAAGACAATACAATACAAATACAAAAATATTTAACAATATGCCTATGTAGTAGAACGAGAAAATATCTTGGGGATATGTAGCAACGGACTGAACAAAGGATAGAAACAAACGATACATTTCTAAACTAGTTATATATCTATTCAAGTATCTTACACGGATTATACGAGAGTGAATGTGGAATGGCGTTTACGTATATTTCATAGAGACATAGTTTCGCTTCATCCCCTTGAAAAATTAAACACAGCATTCCCCCAAAATTCAACTGCCCATATATCTAAAAAAAAAAAAAAACGTGAGGTGATATGGAATAACAAAACTACATACAGAAAAAAAAACAATTCACATGAACATCTACTATTTCAGTGTACAGATAATTTTCATAACCTCAAGCCTATTAAGCAACACGGAAGCCAAATTCAACGCACAAAAGCGAGCTTGTGCCATCGAACTAACGCGCCCCTTCTCTCGACTGCAGGACCTGATCAACGTCCTTGATCTACCACAGTAAGTAGTGGTGTTGTCTCACTACCTGTAGAAAAGGTTTGAAGGAGAATATCTTCACAATACAAGAGATTATTTGACCGGTTTTGATTATATATATGTGTGTGTACGTGCGTGTGTATATCTGAGGTAGATATAATTGAAATCAGTCAAATATATCTATTGTATTGTGAAGATATTCATTCTCATTCATACCTTTTCTGCATTTGTCAATATGAATACGGTTCATCCTCAATACCTGTCATTATGTCACCCTTGCCTGGCTTTCCTTTTTGTCTTTTTTGCAGTGGGTCTCTACCTCTGTTGTGTAGGAAATTTTGCAGGTCTTTGATGATAATGTTTTTCTAGTTGGAAATATTTGGAAAATGTAGGAATCAGATTTTCCATTGATTTCTTTTCTTCATATTTCTTATAGAGTAACTTACAGATTCGTATTCGTATATCTATGGAGTAAATATCTGTTCTAAGAAATATTTTTAATATGTCGCCAGACTATAAAGGTTGAGAAACACAGTTCTGTTAGAATGACAACAGTCTGCACGTGGTTATGCATTATATTTTCCCCTTTAACCAGGAAGTAAAAGTTAAAAAGATGATTTTGCTTCCATTGCATCATTGTTAAGAAAATGTTAAAAAGTTGTCATCTTATTACTAGCGATCATGTCTATTGCCGTGACTTTATGCCCTCTTTTCCTACAACAGATTCCCTCGGGCCGGTTGCATCACATACCAGGCTGTGGATGCAGCATTCCAAAGTGCGCTGGCCGCAAGAGGTAAAATCCAGGTGCTTAGATGTTCCTACTTAAAGTCTTCGCCTCTGTTTGTTTCACTTATACTCTGTCTGTCTGAATAACACTGTTTGTTTGTCTGTCTGTCCGTCTCTCCTCTCTCTCTCTCTATCTATCTATCTATCTATCTATCTATCTATCTATCTATCTATCTATCTATCTATCTATCTATCTATCTATCTATCTATCTATTTGTCTATCTATCTATCTATCTATCTATTTATCTATCTATCTATATATTTGTCTCTCTCTTTCTCTCTCTCTCTCTCTCTCTCTCCTTTCGGTGGATATAGTAACATATCTATAAACTGTTACCACAATATCTTTCCACAAACGGCAATGGAAACCGCATCTGATCTCAAAAAAGAAAGAAAAAAATCTTCCGTTTTCCTCACGAAGAACAACAACCGCTTTTGGTATCATGTTATCCAAGCCCTCTCTGTTATTACTTTTACTATTTAATTTCTCCTCATCCTTTTGTATTTGTATCAGGCAACTTACGACGGCCCGTGGGAGAGTGGGAGCCCGAAGACATAGCTCCTTTAGGGGATATTCTGCTAGACACGACGCGGATCTTGGCCACAACGTGAGTTTATAAAAGCACGGCTTTCGCTTTTACATGGACTGAGAGACGGAGTGAATGGCTGGGCGGATAGGGGGGTAGATGGAGGGATTAATGAGTGGGATGGCTTGCTAGGTGGGTGGGTGGGTGGGTGGGTGGGTGGGTGGTTAGATGTTTTGGATAAAATGAATAAATGAATGGGTAGATAAAACTAATGGATGATTAATAAATTGAATGGACAGATTAATGGAAAGTAGGACAAATGATCTGATATGTGAATGGATGGACGAATGAACGATAACTGGTAGACTGACGGATAACTGCTTGCCCAGATACGACCTAAGCTCCGAGGAGGTATGGAAGCTGCTGCCCAAGGTGGACGTGGGCAAGACGCTCGTGGCGAGGTACTGCCCTGACTTCGCCTCTCCCATGACCTGCGTGCCGGGCAGATACAGGCGCCATGATGGACTCTGCAATAACCTGCGTTTCCCGACGTGGGGCGCCACCATCTCTCTCTCTCTCTCTCTCTCTCCTTTCGGTGGATATACGTAACCATATCTATAAACTGTTTACCCACAATATCCGTTCACAAACGGCAATGGAAACCGCATCTGATCTCAAAAAAGAAAGAAAAAAATCTTCCGTTTTCCTCACGAAGAACAACAACCGTTTTTGGTATCATGTTATCCAAGCCCTCTCTGTTATTACTTTTATTATTTAATTTCTTCTCATCCTTTTGTATTTGTATCAGGCAATTTACGACGGCCCGTGGGAGAGTGGGAGCCCGAAGACATAGCTCCTTTAGGGGATATTCTGCTAGACACGACGCGGATCTTGGTCACAACGTGAGTTTATAAAAGCACGGGTTTCGCTTTTACATGGACTGAGAGACGGAGTGAATGGCTGGGCGGATAGGGGGGGTAGATGGAGGGATTAATGAGTGGGATGGCTTGCTAGGTGGGTGGGTGGGTGGATGGGTGGGTGGTTAGATGTTTTGGATAAAATGAATAAATGAATGGGTAGATAAAATGAATGGATGATTAATAAAATGAATGGACAGATTAATGGAAAGTAGGACAAATGATCTGATATGTGAATGGATGGACAAATGAACAATAACTGGTAGACTGACGGATAACTGCTTGCCCAGATACGACCTAAGCTCCGAGGAGGTATGGAAGCTGCTGCCCAAGGTGGACGTGGGCAAGACGCTCGTGGCGAGGTACTGCCCTGACTTCGCCTCTCCCATGACCTGCGTGCCGGGCAGATACAGGCGCCATGATGGACTCTGCAATAACCTGCGTTTCCCGACGTGGGGCGCCACCAGAACTGCTTTTGCAAGGTCAGAAAGGGAGTTTATTTTTAATATCTACTGTTATTATCATTATTGCCATATATATATATATATATATATATATATATATATATATATATATATATATATATATATATATATAATTTTATTTTTTTTCGGGATGGGGTATTTTTCTTTGTGTTTAGATCCAGCTAAATCTGTGTTAGCAGTGATTCGAAGGAAATTTTTAACGCTAGAGATTTTAATTGAATTTTTAATACGATGTACACTGTTTACAAAATATTTATATATAACATACGTACTTTATAAATCTAGATATAGACATAAATGGAGATGAACAGATAGATAAAGAGATTAAGACAGATAGACCGACATAGACAGCGTTCACCCACCATCGCAGACTGGTCCCCCCGGCGTACAGCGATGGCCTGGGAGCGCCCCGAGAGAGCCACGTCCCCGGTGGCACCCTTCCCAATCCCCGCCGGGTGTCAGCCAGCATCCACCGCGACGGAGGCTACCACGACCACGCCATCACGCTCTTCGTCGTCGCCTGGGGGCAGTTCATGGACCACGACTTCACCCTCACTGCCACGCCCCTCGGTGAGCTTTCCCTCACTTCCCCTCTGAGGTCCCCCTGGGGTCTCTACGTGTGGGTAATAAGCGGTTTTTATTTATTTATTTTTATTTTATTCTTTTTTTTTGGCGTTTTTGGTTGGAATGTTTTTGTTTGAAACGTATTTTGTTTGAAAGGTTTCATTCAAATGCGGCGCCAAGATTATCATGTAAATCAGGTTTCCATCCACGTAATATTAGGTTCCGTCAAAGATATTCAGGAAGAAATCATGCATAGGCCTATGTTAGGAAAATACAGAGAACAGTCATATTGCAAAAATTCAGTATCCTGTCGTTTTCCTGGCATCTCTTTATAAACTTCTGATAACTGATGATTAAGCAATTGATAGTATATAATATGATAACGGGTGAAAAGTTGTATGCTGATAACACTTTTTACACAATGACCATATATATGAGGCTTTTTGCAGAAGAAGGGCGGGGTTTTAAACCTAAAAGGAGTTATAACTTGTAGTTTAATATCATAGATTTTGGATTCTGGACACAAAATGCGCTTTTCTAGAGTGTGTCCTTTGATTTTTAGATATACAGTTTGAATCTATTGATTATTGCAAACTGGCTGATTTGCTTTGTTCTATCCAGTTGGCCAATACCAACAATCTTCCTTATACAAAAAAACAAGACCATAATCATGCAATATTCCTGTCAAATAAAATATACACTAATACTTACACAAAAACAAAATAAATACTTCCATTGTTATTTCAGTAAAACAAACGAACTTGCAACCTTCCTTCTCCAACAAATTTATATCATAACCATGCATTATTCCCGTCACGAAAGGTTTACACTAACATTAACCCCTAAGGTAAAAGGTATATTTCCCCTGTATTCTCGTTATTAACATATACACGTGTTGACAGACCCCCTGACGAGGAACGAGCCGGAAGTGTGCTGTCACCCCCCTCCAGGAATCCCGAAGGACCCCCACTGCCTGGAGATCACTATCCCGAAGGACGACGGATTTTACAAGCTGTATGGACAATCCTGCCTCGAGTTCGTCAGGGCTTTTTCGGGCGTCAGGCAGGATTGCAAGTTAGGTAGGATTATAGGATATTTCATTTAGTTATTGAATTATTTTCGGTTTTATTATACATTTTTTTTCTTTCTTTCTTTTTTCTTTTTTTTTCTTGTTGTTTTTTTTTTTTGTTAAGGTTTTTTTTGTGATTTTTTTATGGATTGTTTGTTTAGTTTGGATTAATATATGGATGGCCTGTTGAGTGAATGGATGGGCGGGTGGGTGGAAGAATGGATAGGTCATTGGATGGATGAATTAATTAATAAATGAATGAATGGATTGACTGGTGGATGGATAGGTGGGTGGATGAATGAATGGATGAATGAATGAATTAGCTGATTAATTAATGGATGGATGGAAGGATGGATAGGTCGATGGATGGATGAATGAATGAATGAATGACTGGATCGAGAGATGGATAGATGCAGACACGTTTGTAAATGGTAAAACAAAACTGTTCATGTCATATATTCCAGGTCCTCGCGCACCCTTCAATATCCTTGCTGGTGTGATTGACGTCAACACGGTCTATGGCAGCACTGACGAACACGCGAGGTTGGTAATACTGCTGTTGCTATAAAGGGATGTATTCGGTTTTCATTCGATTTTCTTTCTTATTAGGATTAAATCGGGTTAAAAAGATGTTACTGTATTCTTTGAGTTTTCTTGTTAGCAATGTCATGTAAGGTAGGAATTATAACCATAGGATAGATTTAAAAGTCCATGCTGTTCCGACTTGCCTGTACTATTAGTTCCCCCAAACGACAATAACTATACCATAATTTAAAAATGATATATAAAATGGTTATCTTCGCCTCTTAATAATCCACAGGGCCTTGAGGTTGTTCAGGGGCGGCAAAATGCGGATGAACAACGCCTTCGCTGCCTTGGGCCTCCGCGAACTCCTGCCGCAGAAGCTGGACACTCCCAACGAAGGATGTACGAGGACCTCTCCGAACCAATTCTGCTTCGATGCCGGTCAGTTGATAGAAAGACGGCGGCTGAATCATCATCAAATAACAGAGGGTCCAATATTATCCGTTGTGGTTCACCATGACTTTTTATCTATCCTCTGTCACCCATGTCTTCGTTGATGTTGCCTGAGTATCTCGTTTTAGGTCTCTCCTTGCCTCGCTCTCCAGCAACTGTTTCCATCAACAGATCTATTTCCATGTTTTGTTTCCTCATTACATGTCCAACGCGTACCATCTTCCTTCTTGTTATTGGTGTTAACAACCTCTCCTTGCATTCCATTTTTTAGTACACATTTATTCAGTATCTTTCTTGTCCAGCTGATTCGCAGTGGTCGAGGGTAACACCACATATTCGAATCTTGCAATCCTCCGTTTATCGTTTTAGTCAGCACCCAGCACTCCAAGCCGGAAAACTAAAGAGTTCAGAAGTCTCTTCTTTGTTGTCATTGATAATCTTTTACATTTCCATACACTCGCTTTTGGCAACACCGAAGCTTCGTCTTATTTCATTTGTATCATCGCATAAGATAGATAAATAAAGTTGTTGGCGGTTGTTTGGCAGAATGTGTTCGTTGTCCAGTTTCAGTCCAAGAATTTTTCATAACCTTGGACTTACTTGCATTTAAAGTGAGCCAAACCGATTATTTGATAGATTTAGTCACCAGATCTTGGATTATACTGCCAGCAATTAGAACGACATCGTCTGCATTTCTCAGGTTGGTAATTGTTCTGCCACCAACTTTAGCACTGCCAACAAGTCTATAAGAGCCTCTTTCATTATTTGTTCTGAGTAGAAGTTGAATAGATGCGGTGAGAGTATACAGCCTTGTCTAGCACCTCATTCTATACTGAACGGTTTCATTAAGCTATGCTGCTTTCTGTTCAAATTCATGATCAGTTTGACAGTATGAGTCGGAAACCAGACTCATACATCATTTCGTGTGAAACCATGTTAGGTGCTTTGTTGTAGTCGATGAAGCAAAGATGAATGTTGTTGTTATACTCTCTATTTTTCAAAATGACCAATTTGAGGTTTAGGATCTGGTCTCCTGTGCCTCTCCATGGTCTGAAACCTGTTTGTCCATTTATTTCTTCCTTTAGTTTGAGTACTTGAAGAAAGATTGTCTTGACTCAATCACCTGACCATTGCTTTTCCATCCAGATAATAGTGCAAAGATTATGAAAGAATCTTGTTACATTTTCGCCACCTCGTTTTATCAGTTCTGCTGTAATATCATCCAAATCTGGCCTTTTATTATGGTGGTGGTTCATCTTTATCTGCGTTAGAAATTAAATCTTGGGTTCATCCTTGAGCAGTTTTTTTTTGTTTTTTTTTTTGTTTTTTTTTTACAGTTTACAACAGTACCGTTTCCATTTTTTCTTTCAATTCTCCACTTTCGCAAAAGTATATCGTTTTCATCTTCTACTGTGTCAAGACTTGCTTTGAATTTGCTGTTTTTTGACACCTTGATAGAGATCTTTCAACGAGTTGCTAATGGCGTTTTTTCTATACGTTGGCATTGATCAATAATATGGTTTTCTTTGTCCTTCCTCATCATTTGTTGGACACTTGCATTTTGTTGCTTATAATTTTCTGCTTCGACTTGGTTGTTAAAGTCTTTTGTCCTCCTTTCTCTTCTTTTCTTAGCTTTCTCAAGAGTTTCTTTCGAAATCTATTGCCTGTTTCTCTTCCTCCGTTTTGCAATAGTCGAGCTCGCTGTGTAAATTAGTGTTTCCTTTGCTATTTCCCATAAGGCATTTGGTATTATTTCTTCTGTTTCGCTAGTTAATAGTGCCTCAAAACGGTTTAAAATTTTGATGACGTAGTCATTGTTCATTGTCGAATAATCCTATCTGGCCGGAGTTTGTGGTTTCTGCAACTGCTTGAGTCTTGCCCTAATACCAGCTACTAAAAGTCGTGATCACTGTGGCAATCGGCTTCCTTTCCATTTACTATTACTCAGGATAAATCTATTTCGATTCGTGTCTTTTTTTATCATGCGAAGTGTGTTAGCAATAATAAGGATGTTATTAGAAGAGAATTCCCTCTTTCATTATTTTTTCCAATACCGTGGGCACCACAGCAGTCCGATGTACTTGTTCGTACATCACGTTTAAATCACCCATGACAATTTTGATTTCTCTGTTGGGAGTTTTGAAATTTTCCATTTCTTCTTCGCTCTCCTCGTTCGTTGGTGCATAGCACTGTATAATACCGATATTATGAGGCTTCCCTTTAATTCTAACTTTAAGGATTCTATCGGTGTTTGGATAGTAGCCCAGTGACGACTTTGTGATCACTACACCATGGATATAATCACCGAAAAGTGAAACAACCATTTTTGTTCGTTTGACAGATACCAATAATTTCTACCTTGTTACTGTCCATTTCATTGCAGACGGTATTAAGGTTCCCCAATTCCTTAAGTTTTCGAACAGGAGTAACTTTGTGTGCTAATATGTTCCGGGGGAGAATGTGGTGTTGTGGTCGTGTAGCGACTGATGAGGATCACCTGGACAGGATTTGTTTGTTGTTGGTGAATACTCAGTCTGACTGTATATCAGACATGCTTGTTTATACATTTGCACTTCATAATCCATCTTTTTGAATCTCTCTATATATCTATCTCATTCCGAGCAAAGAAAAATCACCTAGAGTTATACCAGGAACTAGGATTAAGTAAGCTTTTTGACCATTATTGCGATAACAAGACAGTGGAAAATAAGCATATTAAAAGTAAGGCAGAAGTAGATTATTCCCAAAAGGTTGCATCGAAAATAAAAAAAAAAGAACTCAACGTTGATCGCAAAAAGAAAAGCAAAGCAAGAAGAAAGATGTTTTGCGGTCATCGTAGGTCGAAGACGGTGAGTCAGTACACAGCCTCATCGATCCTCGGAATAAGATCCTCGGAATAAGATCCTCGGAAACACCAGCTGGATAAAGAACAGGAAGCGGTGTTCTGCGGGAGAGCTGCAGGATCGAGAGTTTGGGAGATGAAGCCTTTGGTGGGAGAATATGAGTCCGGTGAAGAGAATTATTGAACCTTTCTAACGGATCGCTGGTCACAAATCTGTAGGCAATGGATTTTTAAAGCCTATAGAGATTCCGGTGTTTCTAGGAATAGTTTTAGTGGTTGTATTTACACTGGGCTTTGAAGAAAACGGAGAAATATGATCTGATGGTATTGTGCGAAATGTTGCACAGAAATAAACATGCACTTAGTTGAATAACATCATAGCTCATCGATGGATTAGTCATTACCGCAATTGCAACAGGAGATGGCATGGTATCAGCTGATTGCTAAAAACATTTTTCTTTATTATTGGAGGTATTGTTTTGGAGGAAATGTTGTCTTAGGAAAGAAGATTTCGCCTGCCTTGTCTTCGGTAATTTCGTGATAAGGCGATATATTCCATTTCCGAAATCCTATAACTTATGTTAAAAAAAATAAAATCAGGGGAGTTTCTAGAATAATCACAGCCAATTTTCCAAACTGAGAGACAGGAAGTAAACACAATGACAGGCAAAATAGCAAATATGGAAGTGAGAGAGAGGCAGAAATAAATGACATTAGAGCGTGGACGGAAAAGGCAAGAATTTTAGTGGCGATTAACAAAGAAAGACAGACGAGGGAGATGCAAGAGAAAAAAGTGTCTAACGTTGCTTAGGTCATGTGAGAATATATTTTTACTTCTTCTATACTCTGCCGTTCTGTTGCAGTGATCCTCAAAGCCTCACTTTTGCCTTATTGTTAATATTCACTCTGTATTATCCGAAGGTTATCTTTGTGTATTCGCGAAAGGGAAGATGAAAAAAAAAGAAGAAAAAAGATCAAACACTGAATCTAGATCATAGGTTAACATCCCACCAAGGAATTATCCTTCCAATCTATTCACTCCAACAATTTCTACCTTTCCAATCATTTCTACTTTTCCAATCTTCCTACTCTAATCATTTCTACTTTTCCAATCATTTCTACTTTCCTTCTCTAATCCATCTAATCCTCCATTCCTGCAGGAGAGATTCGAGTCAACGAGCAGCTAATCCTGACCACCATGCACACCCTGTGGTTCCGAGAGCACAACCGACTGGCGAGTCGATTGGCGAATCTCAACCCACACTGGGATGATGAGACCCTCTACCAGGTAAGGTTAATTTTCGTAACATACGCTAACGAAATGATACGAAAAGGGACGGCGAATGTTAATAAATGTCGATCATACATTATCAGAGATTATGCAGCAAAATGTATTGATGTCCTCCACCCCTTTTACGCATTGATATCTCCCCTCCCCCCCCCCCCCCCCCCACCACCACAGGAAGCACGGCGCATAGTCATCGCTGAAGTCCAACACATCACGTTCAACGAGTTCCTTCCCTTGCTGTTGGGCGGGGAAGTCATGGCCGAATATGGACTTCTTCCTGAGAAAGAGGTAAGATGAGAGGGGAAGATAATGGGGAAGAGGAAGAGAGAATAAAAGGGGGAGAGGGGAGGAGAGAATAAAGGCGGGAGAGGGGAAGATAGCAGAGGGAAGGCGAATGAGAAAGAGTATGGTAGGGAGAGGAAGAGAGAGAGAGAGAGCATGGGAAGGAAAGAGGGAGAGTGAGTAGGGAGGGGAGAGGGGAAAAGAGAGAAATGGAGAGGGAAGAAAGAAAGAGAGAGTAGGGTGTGTGTGTGTGTGTGTGTGTGTGTGTGTGTGTGTGTGTGTGTGTGTGTGTGTGTGTGTGTGTGTGTGTGTGTGTGTGTATATGTATATATATAGATAGATAGATAGATAGATAGATATAGATATATAGTATGTATATGTATACATATATAGATATAGATATGTATATATATATATATATATATATATATATTTACCCATCTTAACTTTTATTCATTTATATTTTTGTTCTCTTTAACCCGTCTTCGTTTCCACCAGGGTTATTACCATGGCTATGACCCCACGGAGGACCCCAGCATGACGGCGGGTTTCGTCAGCGCCGCCTTCAGGTTCGGCCACTCGCTCCTCCCGTCGACGGTCGAGCGCTGGAGCCCCTCGCACACGATGATAGGTGGGCTGACTGGTGGGTTAAGTGGGTGGGTGGGGGGTGAGAGGGGGGGAGGTGGTTGTCAGATAGATAGTTGCTTGATAGACAATGATAGTGATAGTAATAATGATAATGATAATAATAATGATAATAATATTGATAATGAAAATGATAATAATAATAATAATTATCATTATTATTGAAATAATGATAATAATAATGATGATGATGATGATGACGATGATAATAATAATAATAATAACAATAATGATAACAACAACAATAATAAAAATAATAAAGTTAACAAGTCAGCGAGTACTTAGGTGACGGATCATCTTTGATATAAATAAGAATAATCAAGATAAATCGATGAACAAGCAAAATTCAAGAGAATATGAACACTCTTACAAACACAGAGACACCGCATTATATAATTTCCTTCTCCGAAGAGAATGACTTACCTGGAAAGTAAAATAGATACCAATGAAGATGCGTGATTCACCCTTTCAATACTGAGCGTTTTTGTTTTTGTTGTTTTTGTTTTTGTTTTTGTTTTTGTTGTTTTTGTTTTTGTTTTTGTTTTTGTTTTTTGGGGGGAGAGCATTAGGTTTATTAAGGCTTCTAGGAATATGTGACCTTTGACATGTTGTTGTTGTCAATTTTACCGTTGTTGTTATTTTTTATTATCATTTTTGTTATATTTTTTTCGAGATGATTATTGACATTATTGTTATTATCATTAGGGTGTGGATGATAATGCTCATTTTTATCCTTGTTATTATTGTTATTATTATAGTTATCATTATTATTATTATCATTATCATTATCATTATTATTATTATTATTATTATTATTATTATTATTATCATCATTATTATTATTATTATTATTACTATTATCATCATTATTATTATTGTTATTATTGTTTTTATTGTTATTATTGTTATTATTGCTATTATCATTATTATTACTATTATTACTATTATTATTATTATTATTATTATTATCATTCTCTTGATTTCCCTTTTCAAATCTTGATATTTCTCCACTTTCTTATTATTATTATTATTATTATTAATATTATTATTATTATTATTATTATTATTATTATTATTATTATTGTTATTATTATTATTATTATTATTATTACTATTATCATCATTATTATTATCATTATCATTATTGATATTATTATCATTATTATCAGTATCAGTATCGTTATTACTACTTTTATTATCATCATTGTTATCATTAGCAATATCATTGTTACTATTATTATTGTTATTATCACTATTGTATATATCATTATTATTATGATCACTATTATCATTATCACCATTATTGTTATTGTTGTTGTTGTTGTTGTTATTGTCATTACTATTATTATTTTTGTTATTGTTATTACTATTACTATTCTTATTAGTGTTACTAAAATAAATAATATTCCTATATTGTTATTATCACAATCATTATTGACAACTTTAGTACTACTACTACTAATATTATTATCATTATTATTATTATTATCATCATCATTATCATCATTATTATAATCATCATCAATATCACCAGTATTAGCAGTGTCATCAGTATTATCAATATAATTTTTAAAATTGTTTTTGGCACCATCACCATCATCCTTCTCGTTCTGTCTGTCATAAACATTTAGTCACTAATGCAGTTTTCTGGCATAACGAAAGATTACGAAATGTAAATCTTTTCCGACTGATATTTCTAGCAATTACCCTCTAATTGTGTTAATGTTTGCTTGTGATGTGTTATTATCTATTCAAATTTCTCTGCTTGTTAAGGGAAAGTTTTGGGAGGAGAAATTGCCTTTCATTATTTACGGTTTGTCTGAAGCTTCAAAAGTTTACCCTGTTCTTAAATGTAATTCAGGTCGGTCGTTTGGAATCTTGTAGCATGCAGGACTGATATATAATGCGTGTCGTGAATTATTGTATTGTAAATGGAATTCTTCAATGTGCAAATGTTGAAATAATGTTTTAATTCCCTAGCTGAGATCTAGAGTATTTTTTCTTCTTTATTTTGTGGTTATATTTTTTAAGCAAACGTAAATTAATGCAAACGAAGAGATTGCAAAGCTTTGTGAAATACGGAGAGGTTGAAACGAAAGTCAGTTCACTGTAGGAAGGAATAACTGAATAATTTGTAACGTAAATTGACGATGTTTAAAGTGAAAATTTGCACGTAGATAAAGATCCTAACGAAATCAGTGACGAAGCGCTTCACAAAAGTAAAAAAACATTCAGACATGAAAATAGCAGAATCATAGAAAATAAAAGCAAAGCATGACGGTGATGAATATATTATAAAATCGCTGATAGTTGTACAGAAAAATACACTAATATTCATACAAAATATTTATTATTTATACAAAATTAGCCATATAAAATAATTTTTTATAGAAAATAAGCTTCCGATTATTGTACGGAGCTCATCTTGAATATGAGACAGAATATGACGGGACACTAATCTCATACGTGACCTTCTGCAGGATCCAAGCGATTAAGCAAACTGATCCGACAGCCGTGGGACCTATACAAGGCTGGGGTTCTAGACCAGTATTATCTAGGACTCATGAACCAGCCAGCTCAGGCCATGGACCCGCACATCACACAAGAGGTCGGTGTCTACGTTCGGTTGTGTAGGTGCATGTGTGTGTGTGAGTGAGTGTGTTTGTCTGTGTGTTAGGGCGATCGATTCAAAGATAATTTATGAAGTACTTTATGTATGATTTTTAGAGTGACGGTGTTTTGTTTTTTTATTATAATTTCGTTCATCTATGTACGTGTATGTATGATATATAGATAGATAGAAAAACAGAAAAATGGTGAGACACACACAAATAAAGACAGACAAAGAATAAAAATAAGAAAGAAAAGAAAACGAGAGAAAAAAATAATAAATCAACAGAAAATCAGAACACACTATAACAACCGACGCAGAACAAACTCGATACCTGACTGACTTGACCTCCTTCCCACCACCCGGGCCAGGTCACCAACCACCTGTTCGAGGACCCCGGCGAACACTTCGGGATGGACCTCGTGTCACTCAATATCCAGCGAGGTCGGGAGTTCGGTATTCCCGGCTACACAGCGTACAGGTAATGCAGTTTTTATTCCCTTCATACGCATAGGGTTCAGTTCAGGGGTACATTTGTTTAATTCGTAGAGAGAGAAATGAAAAAGAGAGGAAAAAATAGGACAGAACATTATTGAAAGAGGGAGGTATCTTTGTTATTGTTATGATATCAGTATCTTTATTATCCTTTTTATAGTAATCAAGAGTCATCCCACACTTTTAGTTCTAGTAAGGAAATATGAACAATAAAAAGTAATTTTTCAACACACACACAATCTATCATAACGTGAACATTTCCGTCCGTAATAATAAAACATTTCCATGTTCAATTCCCAGAAAGTACTGTGGTCTGTCTCCCGTTCGTGACTTCCAAGACCTTGCCCGTCATATGACCAACTTGACAGCTTACCGATACAGCCAGCTCTATAGGTAGGTACCAGCTCTCGTTCCCTCTTTTTGTCTGTCTGTTTGTCTGCTTATTTGTGTGTCTGCTTATCTGTCTGTCTATGCCTCTGTCTATATTCATATGTCTATCTATCTATCTATCTATCTATCTATCTACCCCCCCACTCTCTCTCTCTCTCTCTCTCTCTCTCTCTCTCTCTCTCTCTCTCTCTCTCTCTCTCTCTCTCTCTCTCTCTCTCTCTCTCTCTCTCTCTCTCTCCCTCTCTCCTCCCCCTCCTCTCCACTCTCCATCGCAGTCTCCGTCTTCCCTAATCTTCCAATATACATTCCCCAATATACTAATCATACACGAACCACGCCAGATAATCCACAATTAACCAAACACCCCCAAAAAATGAGCAAGTCTCCCCTCCACATAGGCCCCAAACTCCGAACATTTTCCCCATTTTCGCTTCAGTCACGTGGATGACACGCCTCTGCCTTCAGCCACTTAGATTGACATCATTTCGCCTTCAGCCACGTAGATGACATTAGTCCACTTCACCCACGTGGGTGACTTAATTTTCTCGTCAGCCATGATAACATCACTTTCCCCTTCAGCCACGTACATGATATCAATCTCCCTTAGGCCACGTACATGATATCACTCCCCCTTCAGCCACGTACATGATATCACTCTCCCTTAGGCCACGTACATGATATCACTCCCCCTTCAGCCACGTACATGATATCACTCTCCCTTAGGCCACGTACATGACATCATTTCCCCTTCGGTCACGTATATGACATCACTTTCCCCTTCAGCCACGTACATGACATAATTTCCCCTTCAGCCACGTACATGACATCACTTTCCCCTTCAGCCACGTAGATAACATCACTTTCCCCTTCAGCCACGTACATGACATCCATTCCCCTTCAGCCACGTACATGACATCTATTCCCCTTCATCCACGTACATGACATCCATTCCCCTTCAGCCACGTACATGACATCATTTTCCC